TCAGAACCTTAAAGATTTGTTTAAACGGAGTTATAGGCGTTTATAAAGTTTCCAAATTTGGTGCAACCTCTCCTGTTGACTCGATCCGGTGTGCGCCGTGCAAAATAGTCACATTACTTAAAACACTACGTCAGCGCACTGGAGCACTCTGCGACTCTCAATCCGATCTCTTTTTCAACTTCCAGCCACCTAAAACAGCCATTTCTAACGTGGACACACACAGACAGAAGTATATTCAAATTTCCCTCCCTACCGTAGCGCTCACTCTCAGCCAATCTGAGGGGTGGATCGTGGCGGATGCGCCATCGCGTGTCCTTAGCCTACATTCTCTAGATGTTACGACCATTTTAAAAAAAAGTGCTAGTTTTTGAAAATTTATGTAAAATTTGTGCTGATTTTACATGTGTGCTGAATTTGTGCTGATTTTTGCCGATTTTGGATAAATATGTGCTGATTTTTCCTGGGTAAACGTACTTCCATGAAAATAGGCGGTATTATCACGTTTTTTTGGTGGCAGCATGAAGCGGAGGGAGGGAAAAAGGAGAGAAAATGGAAAATCAAAGAGGCAACGAGAAAATGATGAGTGTTTTTGGCACAGTGAGGTGTTTTGCGGTTGGCGTTAACGGAGCCGAGTTGCTTTTGTACCAAAAATGTGAGTGTGTGATTTTACGATAACAGGATGGCTAAAATGTACAACACCTTATAATAAAAACGCACCTATTGTGTGGGTGTATGTTGGGGTGCCACACACGGGAGGGATGAGGCGCCCAAAAGTGAGGCTCTGCTGCGCGCGCACGTCGCATGTTTGGATTGTAATTTCGCGGCANAAAATCACTGGTTTTCATTAATACCTAATGGTTTGGTCGAGAAGACCTCAGCGAACAGTTTGATGACACTTTTAAAACTCCTGGATTCATCTGGTGGGATACACAGTGCACTTGATACAACTGCAAAAATACGTTCGCAAATGTGGCGACATTATTTCTAATGACTTTTCTCGCTTAAAGATAAACATTTAAGTTCAACATGGGAATTTTCTTGAACATTAGAGTCTCCTCTCGGAAAATATTGACAAAAAATTCACGATCAGTACTGATCACTAACGCAAGTTGCTCTTCTGCTTCAAAATCGGGGTTGGCGACGCGCAACTGAACGGACATTTGGCCTTTAAAGTCTCATATTATTAAATACAATAGTAAATTCTCATACTTTTAATCACGGATAAGTTCAGGGACATCGTTCCTACTGATTCATCAACTTGGTTATCAATCGTTTGGTCGCAAGTTGTTTATAACCCACGGCGACGCGACTATTCCTTTTATCGTGAAATCACCCGCGTCTTCCTCTTACAGAAAAGGGCCCGAATTATTATCTTTCTTAGTTAGCCGGTGAGTGAGATTTCAAGGTGAAAGTCTGCTTGTAATCCCTAGTAGCAAATCTTGTATTGCACATACATTAAGCCGCTTCCACAGGGCGGCCTTGTGCTCTGTACGACGCCCAATCGCCATTGCCCCCTATCCTTCTTGAAGATCATCAGAAAATTGGCACCTTTTAATCTCCTTCTTGTCGCCAATCTTTCACAGGACGTCCACGCCGTCGCCTAACATCTTGTATTGTAATTCGTAAAAAAACCAAAAAAAAAAAAATAAATAAATAAAAATAAAAAAATAAAAAAAACGTTTAAGTATATCATTCGATCGAATAAACACTTCGTCGATTAGAATAAGGTAAAGAATACCCGTTTTATGGTGGTCAAAAGGCTCTGGAAGAGCAATAAACTGAGAAGAACTCGCGTAAAAATATTGTGTACGTTCATTAAAATTTCGACGATCAAACTTCACCAAAAAAATTCACGTTCGACACTTCTTTCGCGGTGGTAACATGAAAAGACATTCGTAGTAGCTCCCGAGATTCATGGTGAAAAGTATTAAATATGATGGGCTGAGCTTTCCTCAAGATATGAGAAAGTTTCAATAGCCTGTTCTTCTTTATGAGTTGATACAATCAGGTAAATCGCGCGAACAGCGTAGTAATGGAGGGTTGAAAGCAAAAAAACGCTGCTATTAGCACGTGCTTGGACAACAGTATAGACTGCCACTGCTTTTGCACTCGTGTCGGAAATCTGCAAAATTAGATAACTCCCGTGTTCGGTAAAATTGTATACTATTTTGGAACAGAAATTAAAACAAACGCTCAATTTCAAAGGCTTTTCCTCTTCACATTCGGATAGCGATAAGCAGAAAGGAACCAAGCCACATCAGCTATTGCCACATTTAACTTAGCAATTGATTTCTTCACGAAAGAACGTTTTTCGGATTTTTTTTCCCCTCAGGATAAATTTCAGGAATTTGCTTCGTACTGTGCAGAAAATTCGCTGTTCGCACGAAAATCCGTACAACCATTTTCATGTGAAAATTTAAGTTGCCCAGTTAAACTTGGCAATAGCTCATGCGGCTTGGTTCCTTTCTGCTTAACGCGGTCCATTTAAGATTTCAATTTCCCTACGTCCGTAATCGCAATCTGCAAAAAATCGTTTTCCCGAAAACGTCATCGTTAAACGTCCTCGCACAATTTGCGAAAACCGTTAACTGCTTAAATTGATAGGTGGCAAACGTTGCGTCAGCGAATTCATCGATAAAAATTTTGCAGCGAAAAATTGATGGAGTTTTCCAATTTTTCCTCGTATCACGTTGTTATAAAAAATGCGGAGCGTGAGTGTTTGACATTTTTGAATGAATTTTCTTAAGACGGTCCTGGAACCCTCCGTCACTCAAATCACTCTCTTATCTCTGGTCCCTGGTGGTGATCGTCCTTGAACGTACGACGAAACTTTGACAATGAACACCTTTGAAGGACAAAATCAAAACTATTCCGATCGTTTTTTCTGTTTATTCTTTTGCAACTGGAATGATTAGCTATTTCGTCCAATATTTTACGAAAACACCTGACGGTGATATTGAGCCACGCCGAAAATGTCGGAACGTAGTAAAACGTGTTTATCACATACTAAAAGCGCATTCTTCCTAATTATTCTTTCATTTAGCGAGTAGCGGTGCGATTAAAATCGCCAAAATTTGACAAACATTGAAACTTAAAGTCCCCGCCTCGATGAGATAGACCTACTAACAGGTGAATCGCTAGAATATTTTGGAAATTACGTGCACACTTTCAGCAGCACTACGGGTGAAGGAGAATACAAATGGGTGCCTGAAAGCAAGGGACTGGCTAGGGCAAGTGACGTAGTTACACCGGCTGGACCACTTGTCATTTCAAACTAAAGCACAAAAAAAGCCTAGTTTTTCACCCGCAAGAACATGGCATTTAATGACGCTCAACGGTTCAGGCGAAAGGAAAAAAACTGGACAAGTTCAATGTCGAAGCACCGATACTTTTGAGGGAGAAACTTGCGTATCGCGAGTGAAACTAGAGAAACACATACCCGGGGGATTGCGGTGTTTATACATTTCATTATCCTTACATTACCGCTTCAGGAGTAGACTTTCATTTTCCAGACAAGTGTGTAAGAAAGTACAAAAAAAACCCAGTAACTTGAGTGAACAAACAAGAGAACAACCGTTCTCAGCGTTAGAAAAAAAAAAAAATTAATGCTGCTTCCTTTCTGTAGTAAGACAAGATGCGGGATAGAAAAAAAAGGATTCCTCCTGTCTGGCATTGATACTAGAGCACGATCAGTCAACAGAGCACGTTGCGAACTGAAGGAAATAAGCTCCGGTTGAAGTACGACTTTAAAAAGCGATTTACGTCTCTTAAATTTGTTACAGCGCACAAAGGCGCCCGGTAATAGTTCCTCGAAATAACTGCAATCTCTCCCGCTTCCTTCACCCGCCGCCGCCCCTAACCTTTCATTCGCTTCGTTCTTGACTTCATTGAAGCAATCGAAATGCGGATATCAGCTGCAGTTGCGGAACCCAACAATGGAGGAAAACCCACTTTCACGACTTTAAATACGACTGTTGCTACGTTTTGTGATGCCCGATCGAATGAGCATATGCCTGCAATCGGATTCCACCCGACATTAAAAGTGCTGCTTCGCTGAGAAAACCCTTTTTTGCTCTCAGCACGATTTGGTTGGAAGAGAAAACATATTGTGGCAAAAATGTAGTGCTCATAACAATAAATGGCACATCTCCTCCAAAAACAAGAGAGAAATTAAAGAAAACAAAAAATTCTTAGGATGGGTCTCACAGAGCAAAGGCTGGTGAGATACTGTTATGTAATTAAACCGTAGCTGCTTGGGAAAGTCGGAGGATTTAAATTTTTGCATAGACAAATTCAGAAGTACGTACTATGCTGAAGATGCAGAAGATTTAAGCTTTGCAAAAAAATGAACGTTCTATTTACACCAACACTAATTGAACCAGTGAGTTCGAAAACACACCGACCCGGAAAAACAAAATTGTTCAAGACACACCTAAAACTGCGCAGCTGGCGAAGAAGTTAGTTTAGGAAAAACCTCTTTGGTGCCAAAGGACAAGTGCTTAGAGACTTTGTAAAGCACCAAGTTGAAATCGATACGCCATGTTTGATGACAAAGAATTAAGCGTTTAAAAATTTCCGAGTTGGTGTGTTTTCGTTCTCACCGACTTTCAGGTACTGATTTTTCATAGTCTGCCCCGAAAAGTTTATATTTTTCGATCTGAATAACGCTTGATTATTTAAATAATAACTTTGGTGCAAGGTATACTGAACCGAAAAAAGAAAACCGCAAGATCGGATGGTCGCCCGTTTCCCTTGAAATGGCCAAAAATTGGTATTTCCAGTGAAAAACTTCGATTTCTCCCTCTTCCCGTCGCTTTTTCGAGCACTTCCGATTGCAATTTCGAAATTTCCTTTTGCGTGCAGATGCTTCTATCCATAAGTGTTACTAAACCGTAAAAAAGTGAAAATCGAAAAAAAACCCGAGTTGGTGTGTTCTCGAACTCACTGATTCAATTTCTGATAAGGACTGGACAAGGTCAGCAACATAAAGAATTTCACAGTTAAATTTTCCCAGGAGGTTTTTTATTCTTTCTCTACAACTTTTTCTTCTTCCTCTTAGCAACTTTCTCCTTCCGCTCAAGGTTTTTCTTCCAGTTAATGATAGGTCTGGCGCAGTAAGTAAGGGTTGTAGTCTCCACTCGACTAAGATCGAGGTTATCACCGATGTAGGGTATTCTGAGAACACACGACATAGAGATGATATCAATAAGAATTTTAAACGGTAACGGAGATGATAAATTCGTCACAAAATCGAGAGTCATACACTACACGAAAGCACTGCAACAATGCTATGAGCATGATAATGCTACTAGATGATAAATTCGTCACAAAATCGAGAGTCATACACCACACGAAAGCACTGCAACAATGCTATGAGCATGATAATGCTACTAAGCTCATCCAAAGTCTACCGAAGTCTACTACCATGATAACCGTAGAATAGCCGTGTTTTTTCAGTGCGGATTTTAAACTTACTCGGGGTGAACTCTACTTTTAACGAGCCTTTCAGCGAAACCCGCCGCGTTAGTTTTCCTTTGGTATTCTGTAATATTGCAGAGATAAATAATTCAAAAACCCCTGCAAGAATATGAATTGGAAGATCCGCCAGTGCATTTTACTGTAAACTTGTGACAGCTTTCCTTTTCATGACGGAATTTGTCGCAGCCCTCTTGTAAATCTGAATCACAATGTGAACCTCCCCCCCCCCCCNCCCAAAAAAAAAGGGGTTATTCTACAGTTACCACGGTAGTAGAACCGTGGATCATGATGATTTTAATGATGGTGGTATGATGAGCATGGTGATGCTACCGTGTCCACCGTAATATTACTGTGAGCACAAAAATGCTACGATGAGTATGCGGTTAGACTACAATGCTCATAAATAATATTACGCAAGTCCACCACGGTTCCACTATTACTATCCCACGTGACATTAAGACCGTGGTAACCGTTGAATAACTGCGTTTTGTTTTTCGATGTACGTAGCTTTCCCAAGCAAAGGAGCGACTGTATGGACTTCATTTAGCAATTCGGAACTATAACTTCCGACCCATCTGTAAAAGCACTTATCTGAATAGAGAAACTAATGGTGCATACGATGGTTTTAAACTGAGGCACAATTTATAGTTCCAAATTGTAAAATGTAGTCCATACAGTAAAAATACGGTCATTTTATTAGATACATGTAGAAATCGGATATTGAACCTTGTGAAACGATTCCTGCGAACCTGGACGGTGCATTTGTAGGTCCTGAACGGGCCACGGCGACGACAACCTGGCACTCCGAAAAAGTGGCGGCATTCCGGTTTTTCAAATTCCCCACCCAATTTATGGAGTGTGTCGAACGCTTGCCAGCAATACATTGAGGCGTTATGCAACATCATCCGTGTGGGAAACAGACCGAGATCACCGCAAGCTTGCAGGGTGGCTTCGTGCACATAAGCGACCTGCAGTAGGATAAAGTAGGATATAGTATGGATAGAGTTGAAGGGCTGTTTTTTACACGAATATCTCATTATAGTATACGGCTGATGGCGCCATCAATAAAAATGTACCTAAATGTACGTGCAGGTACTAGGGATTCAGTAGCAGTGCGAGGGCTAAAAAATTAATGGGGTAAAATGGAGGGAGTAAATGGAGTTCTGGGGACGTCCCCTAGTTTTATGGGGGGTCCGAGGATTTTCGGAATCTCCATGTTACATGGTGAGAGTTCAAGCTATCAGGCCCTAGATGATGTGCCAGAGCCTAACGAGATTAGGGTTCAATCATTTTGGGCAGGTTAATAATATTCGTCAAAAATCGAATACTTTAATATGTTCGGAGTCACACCAGTTGACCCCACCGCATTTATTTTAACCAAATTTTGAAAAAACAAGAAGAGACGAAGAGACCAGTTGGAAAATTTTAAAAGGTTGTTTCTCGTTAAAGCAGATTCTGTCACCCTTATAAAGAAATCCCATTTATTGCCTTCACGATGTGCCCCCACCGCACAATTTAAAACGAAGCATGATAAAATGATAAAACGCATAACACGGGGAACACGTTGAAAAAGTCTAAATTTTAATTTTAATTCATCAACTGTATGAAGTGAGAAATCGATGAATCCCATTTTCGTCCGTTTAAACTTCTACGCACTACTAACAGGATTGATTTCAGTGGTTAGACTATTGAACAATGAGAAAAAGCTATGACTTGTAAACCAATTAGTAGTTCATATGGAACACCACAAATAGTAGTAAAGGCAACATAAAATAATCGCACACATATCTTAGGGCTGCTACGATTTACCTTATAATAATTCATAGACGAAGGATCAGTAGTTCATTTGAGACTATTAGTGGTGTTCCGTATGAACCACTAATTGGTTTATAAAGCGACACGGAAGGTTGCGACTGTCAGGAAGAGACAAGATCTACACATACGCACAGTGGTAGGGATGAATAACCCCTGGGGGACATTTAATTACGGTTCCCGGTTAAACGGTGTTATTCAGTTTAAAAATTCATTGATGAAGGCTGAGGCAATTAATGTTATGTATTTTTGACGCATTTTTAAAGCCTTGGTGCTCTACAATTTAAAAAAAAATAATAATCTTATCCTTAATAGCTATTAAGATAACTACCCTAAAAAAATGTTACGAGGTAGACGTACCGTCCGTTCGGCGGGCTCAGAGGCCGAAAGTTATGCGTACTATGGAGCCGTGGCTTAGATCGCTCCAGGCGCTACGCCCGGAACTTTCAGCTTCTTAACCCAAGAACGCGGACCGTATGTCTATATAGCTGGAAGTACGGCTTCCACGGCCGGAAGTTTTTAGTGCAGGCTCAATCGACTAATAGGGCTATCATTCTTTTTCCAATAAAATTCTAAGTTAAGAGCAGCATTGTGCAAGTATCGATAAATTCATGTATTCACATTGCTCGATAAATCGAACTGTAGTTCTAACAAAAGAGCGGGGTGAAAGACAGTAGCCCCTCTTTCTCTCAAGTTCAATGAGCACTCGCGGTCCTTTTGATGGGGCTGCAGGTAAGTTTTGAAAAGGAAAGTTTTGTAAGTTTTTAAGGAGGAAAGCAGTGATTAAGAAACGTATATCCGATCATTATAATGTGAGTCGAGTGACATTTTAATCACGTTCAGCAAAAAAAAAAAAAAAAAAAAAAAAAAAAAAAAAAAAAAAAAAAGAAAAGAAAAGAAAAGAAAAAAAAATATATTGAGGACACTCCGGAGAACTTATCAAAAAACATCTGGTTTTAACGCCAGAGAATGACACTAGTTTCACAGAAATATAAAAAAACAGAAAAAGAATAAACACGAAAAAACGTAATAAATGAACACTACAGCGTAAAACATCAAAGAACCCACCATTTTCAATGTAGCTTTTAGGTCGGGTTGGGTGTTCAATAAAGGTTCTTGGTCGGGTTGTGTGTTCGATGTAGGTTCTAGGTCGAGTTGTGTGTTCGATGTAGGTTCATGGTCGGGTTGGGTAATATCACTTAACATACACGGCAATGGGGACGTCAATGTAAAAATAAAAATCGATACTAACATCATGCATGCTTTCGCGAAGAAACGGAACTGCGGCTAAGGCAACTGTCAACGGGGAAAATATCGGGAAACTTACTACAAAAAAAGTGAGTATTCTCACGTCAGTTTACGCGTCATCATACACTAAAACGTCACCGGTCTGATTCGGTTTGACAGTTTCCGGGTAGAAGAAAAAATAGAAAGCCCGTGCGAAAAACACCGTCAGTCCATGATGAGCTTCGACGTCAAAGAGGACATCGGATTGGACCCTTCTCAAGAAAAGGCAACAGAATTAGTAGCAGCTTTAAAAAAAAAAAAAAAAAAAAAAAAAAAAAAAAAAAAAAATTGAATGTAGATATTGGTATGCTTAAATATAGATCGCATTTACGATGCGCCTTTCGAATCGAATTGCGCTTCATCTACGTAGATGAAGCGCGGATTTCGGAAGGCCAGCACGGGAATCGTACGGATTTTCCGTGAAATGATACGAAAATGAGAAATTTTCGTCTTGATTAAAGAGAAACATGGTTTCACTGATTTTTTTTTCATACAGAATAGAGCGGGTATAGTAGACGCACCTGCCAATTGACACAAGTTGGTGATCATACAATTGATCGGATATATGCACCAGCAAATTGAGTCGTGCAGTTCCAACCGAGGCGTGATGCGTCGTAAAAGGCCCTTTCACTTGGCCAAACATCATGTCAATAAGAATACTTCGCGTTCAAAAAATCGCAAAATTTTGGGGGGACCAAAAAGTTGATATCTTAAACCGAGGAACATTCCCAAAGTTTCAAACTTCCATCTCAATTAGGAAAAAAGTTACAGGGGTGGAAGGTGACTTTTGGATGACCCTGTATATGTACCCGTATTTTCTTGGTAAAGTGGACCCAGCGCTTAAAAAAATTCTTGAGATATTACTTTGACTTTACGCGTCGTTTCTTCTCGACAAAACTTGTTTGTTTTGGAAAACGTCGTTTTCCGATCGGTTTTAACCTTAAACCTACCAATAACAAATCGACGCTTTTTCAACTCAAGAAAACCAAATTTTGTCGAAAAGAAACAGCACTTACAGTCAAAAAAATATCTCAAGAATTTTTTTTTCCAGTGAAGAGTGTATTCTCTTGCACATATATATATTCATGACAAATAAAAGAGGAACTCAAATTTATAATAAAATTATTCACTTGACTTAAATTAGATTTGCGGATAAACTTATAACACATTTAAATTTTCATTCGTAAGGGGCCTGTACATTTTTTAATAATTTCATAAATAATTACCCCACACACTTGATGCACGTTGTACGCTCGAACCTCTCATTTCATTCCAAAATATCTAGTGACTACTCAATGACACCGTATTCTGTGACAAAACGAGAGAGCTTCCTATAGGTTGAATTGAATTTTATCTTCAATCTGACGGAGCTCCATTGGCGAAACCCGAAGTTGGGTCAAAGCACGAGACCTCAGCTCGAAAATTTTCAGTTTCGAATAAGTTCCCTCAAACGCTTTGGCGAAACGAGCACCCTAGCGGCGGCGGTCGGCATGCGGGCGTCGCATGGTGGATTGAGTCAATAGGAGAAATCGGACACCATTCGGAAACTTTAAAAGCTTATAACTCCGTTTATACAAAACTTTGAGATTCTAAAAGTGGTTCCATCGGTTTCCTCGTAAAATTTTCTTCCAGGAGCACCCCTTAAAATTTAAAATTTAATGCAATTAACATCATAATTTGCTGTTTTAGTCAAACATTTTATGTCCGACCACTCTGATTGACTCGATCCACTGTGCGTCGGGTCAAGGGACGCGGAAAACGGAACGAGTCTTAGAGTCGCCCCGGAACATCGGGACTCCATCGCGAGGAAATAATTAAAGTCAAACAAATCTCTTTGAAGCGAAAGGAAAAACGCCTTTTAATAGCGCAGGGTGCGCTGCGCTGCGGCGTCATACACCCGTAACGCAGTCATGACAAAGGGCTCGATCCAATCTGCCGCCGCCGAGGAATGACATTTGCTGCCATTGTTGAAGAGTTATTTTAGCCAACGGTCCAATCTTCGTTGCCACACAACGTAAAACAGTCACAGGACTGCCGCAGCGAAATAGGCGAATTCACAGAAAAAACGGCAACTCAATATTGCCGGCAATGTCAGGGTGATCACTTCCGTGAAAACACATTCGCCAAAATGAGCGGCTCATTAACCATAATGTTTTAAAGCCTTCCGTTAATTGCTCACAGTCACGGCTATGAGAATACATTGCAAAACGATGTCACTATCTGAATTATTGATTATATTCATAATTTCGGGAGGAGTTTTGACAAAAATCTTCTCTTTTTTTTTTATTTTTAAACCAGTCTAACAGCAGGGAGTTGAAAATATCATCCTTAACTTTTTCGGAGTTCCAGCTTGTGTAGTCAACTTCGTTACAACAAAACTATCGGCATAGAATTCAGCATCTCCTTCCTCCATTTTCCACTGACCGGCTCAGTGGCAAACTATACTGAGTTCAACCACTATTTTTGATGATTTTCCTATTCCTATTAGCAAATCGTAAATATTGTTCCCCCCAAAGTTTACATTTCCCTGTCTGTCTTATGTATGATAGGAGAGAAAAAAATGTATTATCATGACATTCCATGGTTTATCTCTGATGAATCCACTCTCGGCTATATCCTTATGTGAATTGATAAAAAAGTGAACCTTAGTGGAGAGGTTACCATAAAAATGTGGTAGATTTTCTGCTTCTCACAATTTAGATAATAATTTCCTGATCCTGAACTTCCTTATTTTTTTTTTAATTGGTTTGTCTTGCATTCCAGCGGGAGTTGCAGTCTTTACCCCTTGTTACTATAAAGTTGGACGTAATTTGTTTGGTCTTTGATTCTCACCATCTTTGCTTCGGAGTTGAACTCGAAAATTGAGCTATTGATAGAAAAATTCAAGAAATCTCAGAGCAATAAACATGAATCCGTGATTTACAATTAGAAAAATAGTCGAACGAACAGCCGTCGGGGAGTGACGTCATCCGCTTGTTTAGGTTTGTTTAATTTGCTATCATTTCAACCCTCTTTCACTTCACTTCAATGAGAACAGAGAATAATTCCGGCTAATTCGAAGAGATTTATCGGTTCCCCTCGGTGCAACAGCGTTTTGGATTAGTTCCGCGTTTCATGCGCGAGAGAGGGCGAGGCCCGCTGCAACTGCTGGGGTGCGTGCCCGTGCGTTTCGCGGAGGGTCGCCCAGATTACTTTCCCGCACCGAAAACTCAACCGTTGATGGAAAGCCGAGTCACGGGCCATCCTTCCCGAAGAAAGTTTTCGGCACACTCCGTGCAGAGAATTAAACGGCCTAATACCACCTTACAGGCGGTCTCGACAAACGAACGGTGATATACAACTCATTTTCGAAGTATAGCAGTTCAGATGTGGTAACTGAAATTACCAGGATCACTTTCTCTTAGCGTTGCTCCCTGTGTCCTAAATCTTTATTGGCGCAGCCTTGCGTGCTCTTGTCTTTATTAGATCCTTGAGTTACAGGTTTAATGCAAACAAGTAACCAGATTTGTTAACAAATACATCCTAAGCATAACACAGTCAAAATCTAGGGCTTAAAAAAATTATATGGTGGATCTGGAATTGATCCTCTAAATCTACGACAATGTTTGCAATTTTATAAAGGTTTCTTACAATTCTTATAATATTACTGGACACTCCTAATTTATATAATTTTTTCCACAACAAATTATGGTTAACAGTATCAAAGTCTTTTTTTAAAATCGACAAAAATTAGATATGATTTACGCTTTTTGAAGTTTTGGATCTGAATAAGTGAAGTTCGAGTGAAAATATTGTCCTGGCACCCTCGTTTCTCTCTGAAACCAGCCTGACTTTCTAAAATTAAGTTATTCTCTTCGGCGAAATTGCTGATGCGGTTTGCAATGATGTAGGTTAAAATTTTTGTTATTGAGTTGATTAATGCTATACCTCTGTAGTTATCTGGATTTTGGGGGTCACCTTTTTTGAATATTAAGGATAATTTAATTTTACCCCATGCGTTTGGGATGGAACTTCCGTTCATAATTTTATTTAACGTTTGCCCGGAAGAGGAAGCGCGGAGCCTTGAGAACACCCGTAAGCCGAAAGTAAATTCGATGAATCTGAACAACTTTTTTCGGCCAGCGCCAACCTCAACCCAACCAACAAAAGACAGCCTCTTTCGTGAACTTCAAACCAACGTCAGCAATGCAGCAAACAAAAGTTGTGAACACGGAACTTAACGATACCAGCCCAGCAAACCCGATCAAAATCTGCTATAGGCAGTGCGTTGGATCCTTTCTTGACAAACGTGATTGTCGCGCGGGCTATCTAAATACATTCAACATGCCATGCAAAGACATGACAATACAGCTCTGTATACTAAAGAGGCATTTCTAGCTTTTTTGCAATCGCGAACGACACAAGAACGTGCCAACGTTGAGTATGCGCCTTATGCTGACAACACACCGGTAACGTTTGTTGATACATCCAATCCCAATATCTCCCCAGACGTCATTGGGGCTCAAATTGATATGGGATTATTTGTACTCATCCAGGACTATGACTTCGACGTCCGGAATTTGGATTTAGTGTATTTATTAGCTGCTGAAGGTAGGCGCATGGCACCTAACACGGTCCCCTCCATTGTCACGATGACCATTACTTGGCCCGCGATAACCTTCGTTATTTTGCGGAAAAGTCCCAATCCTCCACCAATTCCTCCTGCCGCTGCAATAGACCCGGAAATTATGTGGAGGTTCTTACAACGTACGGCCATATCAAGGACAGAACGAGACTTGATGGCTGCTGGAGTGTATGAAGCTGCATTGATGGTGAATGGGTAGACTAGAAGTTGTCGGAGCAACAAAATTTGCCGCGTATGTAGTGCTGGTCATCATAGCATGCTGCAGGGCGCAACACCCCACTCGGCTGGTTCCACGCAACCAGACTCAACTTCGCAGCTTGGGCAGGACGCAGCGCCGGACTCCACCATTGTACTACGAAACCAGCCGCTGAGCTGTGATCCAGCCCCAGCGTCAGCTCTTCGTCCTGACTGCGACATTGATGCCTACCAGTGGGACCAAACAGCCAGGGCACGCGGCAATGCCCTTGCCACCATCGCCCGCTGGAACCGTCAACCCGATTTTCCGCCAGTCCACGTTTTCAATAGGCCCCTGTTCCCCAGGGCGTTTCTCACCCTACGAGTCTACACCTTGCGATAAATTTTTAAATTTTGTTCCCGTTTCGGAACACAAAAATTA